AAAATCTCAGGGGTCAACCTGTCAGGGCCTGCTGCTCTCCCTCGCTTCAGATTTCCTATAGCTATCAGTGCGGTAGATGATGCCGAGATCCATTGTTTCTCCCTAACCTTATGGTTTACCTTACTAGCGGATATCACTGCTGTTTCCACAGCTTTTCGGATGTCATTCCACGCTGCCTCGGGGTGGGCATAACTTACATGGCTGCCTAACTGTTTTTCTAGTTGTTCCTGAAATATATTCCTAGCTTACCTATCATTGAGTAGAACCCTTAGAGGCTTCCCTGCAGTGTCTTTCCTACGTCCAGTAAGACACAGACAGATACGCGCTCGCACTAGAGCATGATCTGAATCTAAACATGTGCCCCAGAATGAGCGACAGTCTTCTATCGAGCCCCTCCATCGGTGGCTGATAGCGATGTGATCTAATTGGGTCCAACGTTGGGACGAATTCGGGGGTCGCCATGTCAAAAGATGTTTTTCCTTATGCTTAAAGTTAGTATTTGCAAGAAATAGGTGGTTATCTGAGCATAGCTGCAACAGACGGTCGCCATTATCTGTCCTTTTAGCCGCGACACCATAAGATCCACCCAGGTGTCTTTCCCTTTCACTTATTTTACCTACTTGAGCATTAAAGTCACCTGCTACTATTACTACATCAGAACGCCTAGCTTTTCGGAGAAGGTCAGAAAGTTTCCTGTAGAACTCATCTTTTATATCGTCTGAGCTGCAGTCGGCGGGAGAGTAGGCAGAGACAACGAAGAGGCAACGATGAGTTTCTCTATCTTTCCGGGTCCTTACTGATCCGTTTAGTCGCACAGCGCATAGACGACTGTCTACTGGGATCCAGTCTAAAAGAGCTAGTTCTGCCCTACGACTTAATGCTATACCTACTCCAGCGAGGCCTCGGGAAGCAGCATCAGGGCTTCCAGATACACGAAGCGTGTATCGAGATGAATCTTTATTTTGATTAGGTGCGGTCAAATGAATCACACTACTCGGATCTTGTATGCGCGTTTCGGAGACGCAGCACACGTCGATGGTGTAAGATTCTAGAGTCCTAGCTAAGGAAGCCTGTTGTCCTATTTGGCACAATGTTCGGACATTAAAAGTTCCTATACGTAGTTTAGAGCGTGGTTTCAGGAGACCAGGAATAACGTTCCGTGTACTCGAATCGTTTGCCCTAGCGGTGCGAGGTGATAAAAGGACGTGGGAAGGGTTAGTCGTGGAGATAAGAGTGTTATTAGGTGTAGGAAGGATTTGAAAGTGACCAACTTGGTCTCGTGTGCAGTTATGGGTATGAGGGCTAGTATCACTTTCCGGTTGCCCACACCGTGGAAGGGTATTTCTTGAGGGACCTGAAAAATAAGTCGGATTAGTGTTGGTCTTAACGACCTGGGAGCGTGATCGCAGTGCTCAAGGGACAACTGCTTGAGGCCGGTCACGCACGGCCTTTTTGTGGGGAATTTTTGACGTGTTAGCTCCGTTCTTCAAAGGTCCTTACCGCCGGATAAGGCGAGGTGTGCATTTTTAGGGTCGACCTTTTCTAACCCCACCCCTCCTTGTGGGAAGGCAGCATCGCTGTCATGCTGGTTGTCTGAAGGAAACACCTTACTTCCGTCACACAGTCCGCAGTACGACTTCGTCTTCGGACCTTGGGATTGCTGCTTTTAGTCTCACCGCTCTTCAACCGACCTGTCTGGCATGGTAAGACCTTGAGGAACGATTGTTTCAGCTAGCATAGCTCGATTGGATCATCACGATAGGCAAGCCCGATCACCACGTCAAGGTAGCAGCAACGGTCGGGACACACAAATCAAGTGTTTTGTGAGGCGCATATGTATCTGGTATCCCTTTGTACCAATATTTATGTGTCCAAATAAATAAATAAATAAATAACATCTCTGCCTATGCTCTGACAGATTGCAACCCGGATGTGATCAGGAATGAGTCAGATAACGATGACCGTCTACTGCGACTGTGCACACACCACAATCTGTTTCTGGCTAGCACTAACTGCTGGCACAGTGATCGCCGATGTACCACCTGGCGTCCTCCCTCAGCATCTGAAGACTGGACTCAGATTTATCACATCGTGATCACCTACCGCTGGCGTGGTTGTGTACAAGACTGAAACTGCTTTTGGATTACCTACTCTGATCATGCCCTTGTCTGCACTGATCTCATCTTACGTTTCGGTACCCAACAAATTCATCGTCTTAAACGGATCGGTGTCAGCGAATTGGTTGCAGCTCCTGTTGCAACTAAATATCAAACCGAGCTACGTTCAAGGCTAGCTACCATCCCACTGAAAAGTATAAATGAGTATTGGTTGCAGTTGCATGACGCCATGAAAATGGCGAGTAAAGTTGCTTGCGGCTTTCGCGAAACATCCCGTTTATAAGCACTGTGTTTCTTCAGGCTCCTTACAACTCATTGAAGCCCGTCAGTCTAATCCGGGTGATAGTGAGTTTCATTAAAAACGACGACTGTTACTTAATGAAACTGGGCAAAGTTTGCGTAAGGACCGAGAAGCCTGATGGTCGTAGTGTGCCAATGAGTTGGAAGCAGCAGCTGCATCTAGTAACAACCGGAAGCTCTTTCAACTCATTCGAGTAACTGACAGCAAGAAGTTTGGTGTGAGCGAAGCAATCTGTGAAGATGACGGGATGCCAATCACTAACATCAATTGACGATGGGCAGTTTTTCGAGGAGCAGTTCAACTAATCTGTTGCCCCGACAACATCGATCAAACTTTCCTGTCCTGTATGGCCTGTGGCGACTGATTCACCTAACGAGGAGGAAGTTCTCAAAGAACTCCAACTCTTGAAGCGCTACAAATCACCAGACCCAGATGATTTACCTCCAGCCTTTTTCAAAGATGCTGGTGACTTTCTAGTTAAGAAACTGAGTGAGTTGTTTACAAAGATCTGGGAGCTAGGGAGTGTTCCAACGTTATGGAATGAGTCGATAGTTTTCCTTATCTTTAAAAAGAGTTCACGTCGTTCCCGTAACAACTATCGGGAGAGATGTCTACTTCTGATTGCTTCCAAGCTATTAGCCCCCGTCGCACTTCGTAGATTGTTCAAAACAAGAGAAAGATTGACTCGCGAAAAGCAGGCTAGTTTTCTTTCTCGTCGAGGATGTATTGATTATATCTTGACCCTCCGCCAAGTGTTAGAACACCGTCATACTTATCACAAGCCAAAAATCGTAGTTTCTTGACACCAGGGCTGTCTTCGATTCGTTGGACAGGACTGTTTCCTGGGATTGTCTTCTGAAGGGTGTGCCTGAGAAGTGTACTAACATATTAAGAGCCCCATATACAGACACCTCGGGCACAGTGACGGCATACAACCACCTCTCTCCATTGTTCTATTCAAGCAGTGGAGTTAGAGAGAGTTGCTAAATTTCACAATTTCTCTTCAATTTTGCTATCGATGGCGTTCTGGAAACAGCTCTGATGGATGCAGGTAATGGTGTGGATCTGTTGCCTGGAGAAAGACTTCTCGACCTTAAGTATACGGATGACATTGTCTTACTGTGCGATGATACCGAACCCATGCAATCCACATTAAATCAGTTGGCAATTAGTGTCCGTAGATATGGTATGTGCTTTGCACCTTCCAAGTGCAAAGTACTTTTACAAGACTGACAGGATCCTGATCCTGCACTCACCCTGGGTGGTGAGCAGACAGAAGCAGTCGAGAAGTTCGTGTATCTGGGTAGCTGTATAAGTGCTGGCGGTGGCGTGAGTGATGAGATCAATTCACGTATAATGAAAGCCACCGCAGCTTATGCCAATCTGGGCTATCTTTAGGGCCTTCATGATGTTATTTCGGCTGCAACAGGTCACGTCTACTACTAATCGGTGAGAGCAGTTTTGCTCTATGCTTGTGAAACCTGGCCTCTCCCAGTTGAGGATGTTAGACGAATTTCTGTGTTTGATCGTTGATGTTTCCGAAGGATTGCTGACCTCCAGTGTCAACACCATGTTAGTAATGCAGAGGTCCGGCATTTTGTGTTCGGGCACAGCGACGATAATTCAGTTAGTGCCACTATCTTCAAACATCAACTTCGGTGGCTTGGACATGTTCTAAGAATTTCGCCTCTGAGAATTCCACGTCGTACATCATTTTCCGACGCTGGGACTGCTTAGAAAAAGCGGAGAGGCGGTCAGTGTATGACAGTGTCGTGATATGAAAGAAAACTGTACAGGACTGGCTACTGTTGGCCCTTCACAACTCCCTAGTTGGGGTCCTAGAGATGGTGCAACACAGTGGCTTAAGACGTTGTCAGGTATGGCTTAGAATAAAAGCCAGTAGTGATCCTGCTGTAACTTCATTCTACTTTCTTCATAAAAAAATGAACGTAACTTCTTTGACTGGAAGAATTCTTTCTGGTTGTACTTTCGCTAACTGAACTACCTCTCCCATTACTATTATTTCACCCTAATACACTAATTTCTGTTCGTTGTTGTTATCTTTTTTCTTGTATTTTATTTATTTATTTATTTAAGCACATAAATATTGGTACAAAGGGATACCAGATACATATGCGCCACACAAACCACTTGATTTGTGTCTGGGTCGTGATACTGCCCGAGTGCCCAAACCGAAGCAGGTGGTCTTCTTAGGGGGCCACACCCGGAGCCTTTAACCTAAAGGTCTGATCCACAAAGTACTGTAGCAACGTAAGGAGATGCAGTCCCATGGTATCCGGTGACCAACGATAGGTTCATACGCCATTTGTCCCCCCCCACGATACTGGAGCTCATGTGCACCATTGGTTTGGGGATCAGGGTTTTTCAACTCCCCTAGGTGAACTTTCCGTGTCCACCAACCCGGTTAGGGCGCCAGACATTCGCTTTTCATCTTCTCAATTTCGTAAACAACACTTCTACCTCTTCATATTCTCATTGTGTGGCACATATGTATTTGGTGCCCCCTTGTACCAATATTTATGTGTTCAAATAAATAAATAAAATAGTCAAGGCATATTTACCTTTCAAGTGATCGGTCACTTTGTGGGTTTTTTTCTTCCAAGGAACTAACATATCTGTATTTTGAAATTCTGTACCATTGACATGTAGAGGTAAATAGGTACCAGGGACAGCTTCAACAATTTTTGAGAGTGATTCTGGAGAATCGTTGACATTAGACATCATTTTTGTCTTACGATTAACGTAATATGACGGTTCAGATTTTGAAATACCGTGCTGTTCTTTAGCCCAAACCTTGAAAGGAAGTATGTAAAAAGAAACGAGTGAGAACGATATGTATCGATTGGTCAAACAAAGCAACCAAAATAATTTTGTAAAATAGACATTTATGAAATTTTGAAAGGTTCATTTGAAGATCAAGCTACATTACTTTTATGTAGGACTGATGAAATTTTCTACGGTTGGGTTTTGTTTTGACTGATAGCTCTGGAAGTACAAGACGATTGTTTGAATCACTGATAAACATTTTTAAGATCACCTGCAAGATACAATGAAGTTCGTGATGGTTATCAGGCAGTTTATTCAAAGACACATAATTTTATTTTTACATTATAGACTATCGGACTCCGACCAAAATGCTGAATGACATTGAGTTTGTTATAGGACCTGTAAAAGTCCTGGGTTTAACAACAAGACATTTATCATACAGACTACTTTTCATCAAGTATATATATATATATATATATATATATATATATATATATGTACTGAGTAGTATCATGTGTCAGTGAGACTTGGAATATATTCTCAGCAAACCCATGAGATGTTGATAAATATTTACAAATATAACGTATTAAAAAGACAGTTCTTTGTGAGTCGATCAGGCACTTCAACAAAAACTGTGAAGACTTTAAGAATTATGGATATTTAAAACGACTTTCAACTTTCTGCATTGATAAAAACGTCGAATATGTAGGGTCACCTGTGCTTCCTGACCACAATTTTTCTTTCTGAGTCGTGGATGGATTTGATTTAAGGGATTCGTTTGTGCACTGAATTCTAAGAAATGTCTGAAGTTGATAGGATTGTGAGACGACGAGACAGATTAACAGACTTTTAAAGGTTTACATGAATGTTTGAACAATAAAAACGGAAATGATACAATTGTGTTGTCAGAAATAGTAGAGGCTACTTTAAAAGAGAACTCCACCTGTAGCTCTTCTAGAGTTACTGCTGGTCCCAAGCCCATAAAAAGGAGGAGGGTTGGCCATGGGGTTAGCGACCCCATCCCGTAGAAAAACTAACTCGCTAAAAAGACGCTAACCAGAAAAAATAATTCAAACCATTTAAACTCTGCCCTGGGAGTTGAAGAAAGAATTATGACGCCTGATGAAAGTCGAAATTCTTCGGAAGTCACGAGACCAATGCACCTTCTAACAACCAGAGCAACACTTTTTATAGGTACATGGAACGTCTGGACAATGTGGGAGACCGGGAAGACCAGTCAAATAGCAGTGGAAATGAGAAGGTACAAATTGGCAGTACACGGAATCAGCGAAACCCATTGGACACAAGCTGGACAACAAAGGCTAGATTCGGGAGAGACATTGCTGTACTCTAGTCACGAAGAGGGAAATGCTCCACACACTCAGGGAGTTGCTCTAATGCTGTCCAGAAAAGCCCGAAATACACTTATAGGATGGGAATCTCATGGATCCAGGATAATCAAAGCATCATTTGAAACGAAGGGGATCACAATGAATGTTACTCAATGTTATGCACCCACCAATGATGGCAACGACGACAATAAATATCAGTCCTATGAGTGGCTTCAATCGATCATAAAGAAGTGCTCAAAATAGGACCTGACAATCCTGATGAGAGACCTAAATGCCAAGGTCTGAATGGACAACACTGGGTACGAAGAGATCAAGAGACGACATAGACTGAGTGGGAGAAAGGAACGAGAATGGTGACAGTTTTGCAAACCTATATGCATTCAACAAATTGGTTATAGGCGGCACAATATTTCCACACATACGCATACACAAAGCTGAATGGACCTCACCGGACCACACCACAGAGAACCAGATAGATCATATTTGTATCAACATAAAATTCCGAAGGACAATGGAAGGTGTGAGAACCAGGAGAGGAGATGACAAGGCTCCAGATCACCAACAGGTTGTGGCCAAGATGGAACTGAAGCTAAAGAAACACTGGACGGCTGGGTAAACAGCATTACAAAGGTTCAATACAGCCTTCCTTCGAGATATTGACAAGCCCAACGAATTCAAGATAACTCTCAACAACAGGTTCTAAGCTTTACAGGATCTACTGAAAGAACAAGAAACTACTTTGGAGGACAACTGGAAAGGGATAAAAAAAGCATTAACTTCAACGTGTCAGGAGGTTCTGGGTCCTAAAAAGCATCCCCATAAGGAATGGATCTCTATGGAAACCCTCAACAAGATTCAGGAAAGGAAAAACAAGAAACTAGCAATTAACAACAGTCGATCACATGCAGAGAAAGTCAAAGCACAAGCGGACTACGCAGAAGCAAACAAGGAAGTGAAGAAAAGCATTAAAGCCGACAAGCGGAAATACATGGTCGGACTAGCAACGACGGCAGAAAAGGCTGCAAGAAAAGGGAATATGAAACAACTTTATGATACAACGAAGAAATTGGCAGGGAGATATAGCAAACCGGAGAGACCAGTCAAGGACAAAGAGGGAATGACAATCACAGAGATTCAAGAACAGAGGAAAAGATAGGCAGAATACTTCGAGGAACCGCTGAATAGGCCAGCTCCATTGAATCCACCGAACATCGAAGCAGCCCACACTGACCTTCCTATAGATGTCACTCCACCAACGATCGAATAAATCAAGATCGCCATCAGACAAATCAAAGGAGGGAAAGCGGTAGGATCTGAAAATATACCGGCTGAATCACTGAAGACAGATATTGAAGTAACTGAAAACATGCTTCACCTTCTGCTCAATAAGATTCGGGAAGACGAGCAAGTGCCGACGGACTGGAAAGAAGGATACCTCAACAAGATACTAAAGAAAGGAGATCTGAGGAAGTGTGAGAATTACCGAGGCATCAGTTTGTTATCAGTACCAGGAAAAGTTTTCAACAGAGTGCTGCTGAACCGGATGAAAGACACAGTAGACGCCCAAATTCGAGATCAGCAGGCTGGATTTCGTAAGGATAGACCGTGCACAGACCAGATTGCGACAATACGGATCATCGTAGAACAATCAGTTGAGTGGAACTCATCACTATATATCAACTTCATTGACTATGAGAAGGCGTTTGACAGCGTGGACAGGAGAACATTATGGAAACTTCTTCGACACTATGGAGTTCCTCGGAAGATTGTCAACATTATCCAAAACTCATACGATGGACTACAGTGCAAATTCGTGCATGGAGAACAGCTGACAGATGCATTTTCAGTAAGGATGAGAGTCAGACAAGGCTGTCTACCCTCCCCCTTTCTCTTTCTTCTGGTTATTGACTGGATTATGAAGACTTCGACATTTGAGGGGAAGCACGGAATACAATGGACATCTCAGAATCAATTAGATGATTTGGACTTCTCTGATGATTTATCCCTCCTATCTCATACACACGAACAAACAACAAATGTAGCAGCAGCCTCTGCATCAATAGGCCTCAACATACACAAAGGAAAAAGCAAGATTCTCAAATACAACACGGAGAACACCAACCCAATCACACTTGATGGCGAAACTCTGGAAGAGGTGGAGACATTAAAAAACCTGGGAAGCATAGTTGATAAACAAGGAGGATCTGATGCAGATGTTAAGGTGAGGATTGGCAAAGCAAGGATCACATTTCTACAATTGAAGAACATATGGAACTCAAAACTCTCAACTAACTCCAAAGTGAGAATCTTCAATACGAACGTCAAGACAATCCTACTGTTTTATTTATTTATTTAAACACATAAATATTGGTACAAGGAAGCACCAAATAAATATGCCCCTCACAAATCTCATTCGATTTGTGTGAGGGCTGAGATACTGCCCAGGTGCCCAAACTGAAGCAGGTGATTTTCTTAGGGGGCCACACCCGGAGACTTTGACCTGAAGGTATAGTCCACAAAGCGGTGGAGCATCGTGAGGAGATGCAGTCCCGTGGCAGCCGGTGATCAACGATAGGTTCATACGCCATTTGTTCCCCCACGATACTGGAGCTCATGTGCACCACTGGTTTGGAATCAGGGTTTTCCAACTCCCCTAGGTGAACTTTCCATGTCCACCAACCCGGTTGAAGCGCCGGACATTCGCTTTTCGTCCTCTCAATTTCGTAAACAACAGTAATGCCACGAGAAGGTAGTGAGTAGGACTTCCCTGTCAGAGGCTATATATTCGCAGGCCATATGAGAGCATTTCGAGAGGGAGAGGTGACTTTCCCCACTCTCGACTGTACCAGGGCATTTGGGGGCACTGTACGGAGATGAAACGTGGAGAACTAGTACAACTATCGTCAAGAAGGTATAAGTATTTATAAACATTTGTCTACGCGAAATACTCAACATTCACTGGCCGGACATCATCAGCAACAGCGTTTTATGGGAGAGGGCAAACCAGCTTCCAGCTGAAGAGGAAATTAGGAAAAGACGTTGGAAGTGGATCAAACATACATTACGGAAATCCCCAAACTGCATCACGAGACAATCCCTAACTTGGAATGGTGAAGGGAAGCGGAAAAGAGGAAGGCTAAAGAATACATTACGCCGGGAAATAGAAGCAAATATGAAAAGGATGAGTAGCAACTGGAAAGGATTGCTCAGGACAGGGTTGGATGGAGAATGCTGGTGTGTGGCCTATGCTCCTCCACGAGGGGTAACAGGCGTAAGTATGTAACTTTAAAAGAGGCAAGGTTGGTGTAAAATAAGGATTTTATGACCTTAGTTTGTGTATTTATTGGATATATTTATATATAAAATTGCAAATTACTTGTATTAACCCTTGACCTCCAACGCGTAGAATACGAGCCAGCTCATTTACTGCTTTTATACGCCTAGCCATAGTGGATAAATGATGAATAACAGCTATGCACAGAAAAAAATCAAAACGTTCTGAACAATAAGGTATTCGTAGTATGTCACCTATGACTACATCGAAGCCTGAAAAGGTCAAAAATGATTCATCGAAAAAATTGATAATAAATATAAACGAGAAAAAAGTGACTAAAAGATTGAGATGAATTGATTACAGTTTCATAATATAATCGTCCTGTCACGGACCTACCCCTACACAGAGAAATAGGAAAAAGCCTAATGATTGCTTTTTTGAGGAATACCTATTGACTTAGTTTCATTTCTGCAAGATTATCAACTCTATTATGAAGTACAGAACTAAAATGAAGAAACAAAACAGATGGAATAGCCTATTTTAAGTAAGAATATATACGAAAATAAAATCAGATCGCCGAAATCGTTAGAAATCTGTTATATTTCACAAGTGAGTAAAAATTCATCAATCACAATTATTCAATCTGAAATAACAAGCTGAGTATCATATGATGCAACTGGAGGATACATAATATCGAACAGATTGATCATCTTCATTATCTTAGTTTACATAAACACAAGTTGATTCTGTAGAAAGTACATGTTTCATTAATAAACATACAATGTTTAAAGCAGAACAGCATCAAGGTTAATAAATCGGGTTATTATGAATATCGTCACAAAGACTTTGTTTTAATCTGCAAAACCACTCGGCACACAATGTTCGCAAGTGTAGAAACGGTTTTGGAGGAAGCTATGGGCGGCCACACCAGAAAGTGATATCAGTTTATGAGGTCGCCGGCTATTGGACTGAGTCATGGAAGTAGATGCAGACTGCCGGGTTTAGTTTGGAATAACTATCATAACTAATGGTTGGAAACGTTCAGAAACAGTTGCAATGGCGCACACGTGTTCATTCTTTATCTTCCCTTATGTTCTGAATTTTAAAGTTACTCTACACATTTTTAGTCCAAGAATTTATATTTTCATCGCAAATCATATTATATACACTTAATCTTTCCTATTACAACTGATGTTATTACTATCACCACTACTCTGAGATCTCACTCAGCCGGTGTAATGTGGCTATTCTGACCGGTGCAAAGTGTGTCACATTCTACGCTGTCTATGACCAAATGCTTTTCTGAACACTCTTAGACTATATAATAAATGCTCTTGAAACAAAGCATTCAGCTGAGTTGTGAATTTTTAGAAACCATTAAACTGTTCTATTGATAGTTACTTTGAAACTACCGGGCCAACAATCTTAGACGACTGATATGATTCACAACACGTCATTGAACTTCATTGAACTTCATGCCCCCAAATTCCCTGGTACGGTCGAGAGTGGGGAGAGTCACCTCTCCCTCTCGAAATGCTCTCATATGGCATGCGAATATATAGCCTCTGACAGGGAAGTCCTACTCACTACCTTCTCGTGGCATTACTGTTGTTTACGAAATTGAGAGGACGAAAAGCGAATGTCCGGCGCTTCAACCGGGTTGGTGGACATGGAAAGTTCACCTAGGGGAGTTGGAAAACCCTGATTCCAAACCAGTGGTGCACATGGGCTCCAGTATCCTGAGGGAACAAATGGCGTGTGAATAAATCGTTGGTCACCGGATACCATGGGATTACGTCTCCTTACGATGCTCCACTGCCTTGTAGATCAGACCTTTAGATCAAAGGCTCAAGGTGTGGTCCCCTAAGAAAATCACCTGCTTCAGTTTGGGCACCTGGGCAGTATCTCAGCCCTCACACAAATCGAATGAGATTTGTGAGGGGCATATTTATTTGGTGCTTCCTTGTACCAATATTTATGTGTTTAAATAAATAATTAAAAAAAATTGAAAACAACAATTTCTTGCAACTAATCATTGAAATTTACAGTGAATTCCTCATTACTGAATTTCAGGAAATTGATGTATGACAACCTAATAAATTTTTATCACCCAAACTTCATATTAGCAGAACAAGAATTAAAAAACCGACACTAAATCACCCACTATATCACATTTTGGGAAGTTAACCAGTCTCCCGTTAAAAGTAATAAAACCTAATGAAATTTAGTTACACAGCAACCCCGAAAGATAACTTATCAACTAATTATTTCCGGCTCTTTGAGAAAAAAACCCGAAAATTTCAAAACTGGAATTAACTCATCTATCAGGTAATTGAGTATGAACCAAAGTGTGAAGGCTAATGATGCTACCCGGCTACATAGAATGGAAAAGGTGGGGCGAGACAGCAGCCCGGGACTTAGTGGTTAAAAGTCATTAAGCCACTACTCAGCCCTTCCATTTTATAAATTCTTTGAAACCTATATGTACATTATTATAAACAACCTGTTAAAACACTCGTAATATCCACATTAAGTGAAACATTTACTATAAAATAAGCTGATGTTTGATAAAACAGATAATTATACAAGGCAAAACACCTTACCTCTGTTATATACAATCTCTGCTAGTTTCGGGCTTCTCTCCATAGCAGCGATAGGAATGAAATTAGAAGTGGCAACTATACTTTTGCACTGTACACTAGTTGATGAAGTGCTATCTTCCATAGTACCATAATATTTTGATGACGCAGTAAGATATTTTCCATTTCCACAACCTATATCAGCGCCAAGGCTATTCAGTGGTTGGGCTTCAATAAATTTCACAACACTAGGCCAAGGTGAATGTCGAGTAGAACTGAACTCAGAGGCTATCACATCATACACCTATGCAGATAAGATAAACAGGTTGAGATTTAAAACAATCAAATGAATTGAAATTAAAAACCCTCTTCATTTTCAGAGAACACATCAAAAATACTGCTCACGATATATGGCGAAATACATGACAATTTGAAGTGTTTATGGATGAGAGAAAACAGGGATTTTACCTGTAATTCTATTGCACGATCCGGTTAATACGCCTCGATTTCGATAATGTCAAGCACATAAATAGCGGAATGATATGAGTGGACAGATGCCGTAATGGCGCACAACCGAATAAACCACAACATAGAATCGCTTCAGCAGTATACAAAAGATAGCTAGATCATATAGTTCTCAAGACGTCACAGGAAACTAGACTGAAAAATGTGATTCTAATGCTCATAAGGATTTATCCTGAGTATATATATATATATATATATATATATATATATATATTTCATTACTCACACTTCTAGTAAAAGGTCTGTAATTTATAAACCAAAGTAAGCAACAACGGAAGAGCACTTTATTATCAATTTAACCACTATAGCATCATTAGTTTCTGGTGAAATAAACGACACATATTAGCTGTCTACTACAGTAGCAGTAGTATGAGTGCATTTATAAAAAAAACACTTTCCAACATACGTGATAAAAATTGAAAAGTGGAGGAGGTGATTATTGTTAGTTTGGAATAAGTGATGAAATGCTAACCAAGTATACGTCGTTAGCTTATCAGTCAGTTAACGTCAGCAAGTAAGGTAGAACCTGGCACATATTTGCATGAGGTTGTCAGACAACATTAACACAAACATAAAACTATCAAAGCGAACCTCATAGCAGTATAAGTAGTAATAATGCCAGCAGTAGCAACGGCGAGGGATATTTCAGGACTCGTGACATTAGGTAAGGTAAAGAGTGGATGCACCTGCACGATTTTGCTCTATTTCATCCAAAATCTCCAACCATTAGTTTTAGATATTGCGCGGACGCCAACCAGGTAAGCTTATGAAACCAACTTGCATCAACACTAACTGACTTCCCTAACAATACGGTTTTAAGTAACATTAAAGAAGCTAAAAATTAACACATAACAGTGTTCAGATGGTGAAGACGAATATCATCACAGGTGAAACTACAATTTATGGACTAACCAATCAGACTTAGGATAACAGGTCTTGGGATTTTAGCTGTCACTTTGTGATGGTGAACCACAAATCTAATTTTTAACCCTAGCCATCAACTGCGAATCATAATCCTTATTCCTTAAACTTTTAAATTCCTCATTTAGCCCTAGTAAGTAGACAGATACTCAAGGTCACCTTGGCGTCACTTAAAGGCCGCCCACAGAATATAGTCTCATTTTTAAAAGCATAGTGGTATATGCAGCCTTCCAATAATGAACAAGCAAACACCAGCAACCTATTGCTTCAAACACATTTACCAGGAAATATCTTATACTCGATCTTCTGTATCACTTCATACATTTCTGGGACAAGTGATTTTAAAACAATTATGACACTAACACTAACGTCTAATCCACCGTTAAAAAAAAACATCACCCGTACGGATTATAAAATTTTTATCCGACCTATTTGTTTAAATTCGATATGCGCCCCCTATTCAGTGTCAAAAAAGCTCCCGATGTTTGGAGAATTCGCGAGTATACTCACATTCTTAATTTGAAGTTCAAAGCCTCGAATACACATTAACAATCAAATATATTTACCACATGTTAAAGGCAGGTAGTTAGTTTAAATCGTCTACCTTCTATCTTTATGAGTCAAATAACAAAAACACAGAGGTGTACAGATTGAGTTAAAATACGGTCTCTGAACATAGAAAGTTCGTACCCGAATTTTCAGAACACTACATATATTTAACGTACTAACACAGTTTTTGTATAAACGTACTTGATGAACATATCGATCTTCCAACTCGATCGGATCGAACTTTACGTTAGAAAGCAAGTTGTTATGTGATTTTCCGGAGTTATCAGTGATCATTTAAGTAGAATTGCAAATTGTATATGACAGACAATTGCTAACCCATTTCAGATACGCTGTAACTTGAGAAGAGACTATAATCCGCTAACGACCTTCGGACGCTACTACGATGGCCTTGAGAAACCTTAACCGCCAATGGTATAAATACAACGATGACCTTAGACTACCCAAAAAATTTGGGGTGTAGGTATATCACATGTTATCATGTAAACATGTTTGTGATAGGTCATAGATTTCTTATCTCGTGTTCCCTTACACGTTTCTGTCCGCTTTTGGGTTTATAAACATGTCACGCGTGAAGGCAATGTTGCAATAAATTATAGTCCAAGCACACAAGCTGAAAAGCACTGAAAAAAATTATTGTTAGTAGCTTTACTTACACTGACAACGAAAGTTGTCCTCAGTTTAATTGTCATGGTGTATAACATGGTGTAAAGATAGTTCGGACAGACTTATTTTGTAATTAGTTTTTTCTACTATATGGATTTCATTAATTAACTCTCGTAGTTGGTACAGTTACTATGCTTGACTATAAAATGGTTGTTTAAAAAACATGAACTTGGATCTTACATTTCGTTTTTCATGATCATCGCTCAAAAATACACTGCTGCACACATAAGTTTCTTGTTCTGAATTGTCTGTTGTTATAATAACAGAGCTTTGATATATCTGCTGCCTACGTTTACAGGCCACAGTGATATTCTCATGATGTGTCTTATCTGGACATTCATCTCGAACTACAACAATTGTAGTTGGAATTAATAACTACTCGTAATTGTGGATTACCAACCCAATAAGAAACTCGGACACACCGATTCATAACTATCTAAGTAACGTCCTGTATATTTTTCTTGTGTGTGTGATTTGCATTTAATCTATCAACGCATTAATTTTTGACATGATAACCTCATCGTTGTTGTTAGAATGAATATATTTTCGGTCCGCCACAATGGTGTGTAGATATGTCACGAAAGTTATAAGGTAAGATTCCACTAAGTAATTTTTTTAATCTGTGCACTTATCAAAAATTGTTTAATCATACGGTTAATGGACTATAAATTGCTGGGTAAGAACCAGCTCAGCTAGAAATTACAACTGTAACAATGAGAAGAGATGGATGTTGGTTAACAGTCGAACCAAGGATGCTCATTTCGTTCTAAGATTGACCAATTGCAGTCCTAAACAATAATGGAAAGATTCGAACAAACGATGTAAAAGTGAGTTAAACTTGTGTTTGCTGTCAATAAAAGAATTAAGAAGTGGATCTCGTGTCTTATACTCAAAAGGCATTTAAGCCTAATCTGGTGATATAAGGTGAGAAACAAGTTTTACGAACCCACATAACGTGTCACATACGTGTTCCCTAACGCCCAAATACAAAGTATAATATTCCTAAAGCCTGATGCCACACATATCAGACAAAAATGTGATTACTGAAGCTTCAGAAAGGTATGTGATAATTCTATTATGTTTGCATCACACCTTATCGGGTTAAAGTCTGTTATTGCCTCATGAATTCAAATAAGCGTAAGGTAAATACTGGTATATTAGTAATGCAGAGGTCCGGCATTTTGTGTTCGGGCACAGCGACGATAATTCAGTTAGTGCCACTATCTTCAAACATCAACTTCGGTGGCTTGGACATGTTCTAAGAATTTCGCCTCTGAGAATTCCACGTCGTACATCATTTTCCGACGCTGGGACTGCTTAGAAAAAGCGGAGAGGCGGTCAGTGTATGACAGTGTCGTGATATGAAAGAAAACTGTACAGGACTGGCTACTGTTGGCCCTTCACAACTCCCTAGTTGGGGTCCTAGAGATGGTGCAACACAGTGGCTTAAGACGTTGTCAGGTATGGCTTAGAATAAAAGCCAGTAGTGATCCTGCTGTAACTTCATTCTACTTTCTTCATAAAAAAATGAACGTAACTTCTTTGACTGGAAGAATTCTTTCTGGTTGTACTTTCGCTAACTGAACTACCTCTCCCATTACTATTATTTCACCCTAATACACTAATTTCTGTTCGTTGTTGTTATCTTTTCTAGCAGGAACAAAAAATAATCATTTGGAATTCCTACTCTCTATCCACTAGTCTCTACTGTACGACAATAAAAGATCTCACGAGCCATTGATATGGCCATATGTCGAACCAAAATCAACTGTAACTAATAAGGATAAAATGATTGTTAATTGCGGTCCCAAGATTAAACATATTTACATACTAAAGGCAAGTTTCAATGATACATAGCGTAATGTGTTTTGGGGTGCATATTTATAAACATGAACAAGGTTTTGTGTCGCTAACAGCTCAATGAACAAACCTGTCCACCCATTATCACTTTAGACAAAATTGTAAATTTGGTATCCTGAAATCAAAGAAACTGAAGATCAGTCAAGTTACTCATGACCATCTCAAACTATATCCATATACAGTTCATTTAGAAATATACAGTTTAGCTTAATTCGATTAAGTTGAGCTCAAACTTCTGTAACATGAGGATACACAGGAAGTCTTGACGTCTAAATTTACTCGGTGTGCGAATTACGCTGATCACTGAAAGTTACTAAGACTCTCTCAAACGTTGCATTGAACCCATTTCAAAACGGCCTAGTGCTTGTAGGTGAAATTGCCTGCTTAACTCACCTAACATTCACCTTTGGGATAGTCTAGACATTCAATTAAACTGAGACCGCGACACTGATTGCTTCATGATCTTATTTGAGCAACTTGACGTACAGACGTAGGATACATTTCCGCTGAAGAGTTTATGCTAGAAAGTCATATTTGGTGTGACAAAGCAACTTCAGGTCATTTCAAACGACAGATGCTCCAATCAAAATGATTCGCAACTAAGAACGAAACATGGCGTCTATATTACCACACAACGACGCAGGAAATGACTCACACCCCGTGAATAGTGCACGGATCTGATTGGTTGCCAAGATGAATGACGGGAAAAAGTGTGACATACTCCTACTCTGAAAAATGACTTTCCAAAATCTCATAAACACCGTTATGAACAGGGTCTGGGGTTAGTGTGGCAAATTAGAGTTGGGGTTTTCGTTATGAAGTCACATAATCTTTGATGAAAAGGTGCCATATAGCCATAAAGATGTGTAAATACAGCCCAATGTCGGATGACACCACTCTTTTTAAAATAACTAATCCTCGATAGCATTTAGCTTCAGCTTTACAGTTCGTGAACGTTTTGAAAGATGGATGCTGGTCGAGTAAGTACCATAAATAGGGTCGAGTACGATAAACAGAGGTTAGCTGAGTCAAATGTTCTCTCCACTACTCTAGTGAGCGTATCCTATAGCACATCATCAGCTACATCCTCATTGAATCGTAGTTTCAAGAAGAGAGGTTTCTTTCTAGCAGTTGGTGTCGCTACTCACACGTTTGTCACATTTACTTGTTGCTTCAGGTGACCTTGTGGATAACCCATGTCAATCAACATATTATTAATAAGCTGTAGTTCCTTGTTTCATAGTAGCAGCCGAGCGCATATTTGAAGCTCTATTTGCAAGGCATTTAACTAGGTTTCCTTCATGATTAGTGGGTACAAAGCTCAAGAAATGTGTGTATGGGCTTGCTGAAGAACTTTCCCTATACACACTTCTAATGATAGAATCACGTTCCTTGCTGCTTAACCAAACTTCGAAGAAACGCAGTTCATTATCAAACTCCTCTTCACACATGAATGCGATTTCTGGATTTTTACTGCTAAGTAGCTCTAACATTTCTCCTTTTCCAATGTTCTATTTGACGATAATGAACGCATCATCAATGTAATGACAATAGAAGTCAAACTTATCGGTAAACTCTTTAAGATGTCTGTTTTCTACTTCCGCAAGAAACAAATCAGCAAGAAAAGGACCTAGAGGTGAAACTGTAGTATTATGGTTTACTTCGTTATTGGTACTGATTCAATAATAGATCCAATCCTGAGATTTTAGACTTGTCACGATGTGTCTACCTAATCTATAAGATCTTACGTGGAAGTAAAATCATTGTCTACATCGACTCATCGTATCGTAACAATCACCAATATATGATGAAGAGCGCATTCAGGCTGGAGACAGAACAATATATTTGATATGAATAAAAGCGATAAGTTAAACAAGAATGACGACACCTCCAAGGCTGAGCCATGCCACTCGATTGGATTCAATTGAATTCCTTCCTTCCGCCTTCTCCATCGTTGGGATTTTCTCCGCGTTAAATGTTGAATATATATTTTCCCGGTTATCTCGTGTTCAACTATGAGAATTGTATGGTGCTACTACAAACCTATCGCCATTCCACCAATCTCTCAGTAACACATGTTAAGAGGCACTAAATGAGCGGTCATCGTACATTACAAAATTACTGGAGTAAAATCCGATATGTTTCTGTTTTAAAGTCTCAATATGTGTTTTCTTACGAAAATGCGGAGATAAATGGCGTTTAAGATTTTTTTGGGAGTTTGGTGTGGATGTATATGGAATTCCGCACTCGTACTCATCATTATAATGCAACTCATTTCTTTATTTTTATATATAAAGTCACTCTGCTCTATCACTCCAGGTGTACATTCCTTTGATTTTTATTTCAACTGAGACGGTTACCATTTACGTGTTTTGTGACTTTCGTTTTTTATGTTGCTGTTAGATTTCTATGACTCTACAGAACTAAATCAACTTTTTGTACTTGAGGTCTTTATTTTTAGGGCTGCCATCTTTATTTATACGTTTTCCCTTTGACTGAGTTGCTTGAACTAACTGGAATTGTGAATTTCTTTTTCGAAAATTGAACCACACTTCCAGGACTGAAAACACTTTTTGTAGCAAGTGGTTAATCTTACAGTTCTTAATACTTTTGTTGCCGACATTTTTACAAAGTTAATTTCTACCTTTATAACAAACTCTACATGATTTATTCAAAAAAGATAGGGTAATATTCGTGCATTAATTAGGACTTGTGTCTCTCACCAATCATATTTATTAGATGTAATTGAG